AGAAAAACTCAGGGATTTATGGTACATCAATTGAAATACAAAGTTTTGTAGATATAATAAATCTTGACATTACAAATGTTATAAAGAACTCTACGAACGTGTTATATTTTAGCGATTGTTCAAATAATTTTAAATGGAACATTCATTTCTCTGGAAGTGTGAATTTAGGTACATTTAGGTTATCGTGTTGTCAAAATATTAGAATTCAACGAAAACTACGAAATCTTTCATTTGAAGAAAAAAAAAAAAATATATGGACATAAAAAAAGAATAATACATCAAGTAATGAGAACTTAAATTAAATTTTGAGTGATACTCTTAATAAAAATAATGATTTATTAGTAAATCCTTCGTTATATGGTGAAATAAGTTACAAGTGTATGTATTGTTTAACACTATTTTGCCCAGAAGAAAGAAAAAATTTAACGTGTTGTCATAAGGAACAACTTTGTCTTAGTCCGTTGAATAAATATAATTTTAAATTAAAAGACGTTTTACTTCACAATAAAAACTGTAGAAAACTTATCAGGTACAACACCAATGTGTTCAGTGTTGCATGTTTGATAAGTAGAAAATATAACAAAAAGAAAGAAGGTATGTATAATATTTAAACGTATAGACCAATTTTTCATGTTGCGCAAAACATATTCAATTCTGATCCTAATGAAAAATGAAAAAAAATTATAACTATATTATATTGATAAAATTGCTATTGACGTTAGGTTGAAATTTATAAATAATAGTAAGATTCTTAAGAAACATCGACAAAAATTATGAAGGGAAATCTAACAGCAAAAAAAAGTACAAAGATTTACATTAAATCACAAATGTCAAAAAACTACCAAATTATAAAATGATTTTCTTACAAAAACCAGCCAGCAAAAACATACATACATCATACCATTTGTTCACGCCAATCGTGAGCTTTTAATTCTCTTTTAATTTTCTAATTTTATTTAGCACAATACGTTAAATGCAATAGTTACATTTGCTGGAATTATAATAGCTTTATCTTTTCTTTATCATCTAAAAGTAACACTTATCAATTTTATAACTTTCACTTTACATTTATACATACCTTAATTTCAGAACTTATATTTTCTTATCTTATCTCTTTTTTTCTACTCTGGCTCACATAACGACTACAGTGTAAATTTGTATAGTTAACTTTAGTTATTCTTTCCGCTTTATTGTAATAAATCAGATACGTCTCAACAAGCAAAGAGCAAACATCAATTGCGCTCTGAGCTCCGCTAACCGCTATTGTAAGTACATACGCTATTAAATAAACGCTATTTAAACTACTACCACTCAACAGTTTATTAATCCTCAGTAATTCCCGAACAATCGATATTAAGATCCCCGCGTTTGTCAAGCATTTTTTGGTTGAACGTAACACCATTGACTGAAAAAGGCGGTACTATCATAGTATTTAACTCTGGATTTCCAGAAAGCTTCAATCTTTATTAACACTAACAGAATTTAAAAACGACGTTTATCCTAAAGAAACATTTTTAAATAAACTTATATTATTTCCCATAGTGTTTCTATTATTTTTTTCCTTAGGAGATTTAGGATGGAGTATTGGTTACTTAAAAAATTACTCAAATAAGAGTGAAAAACCAACTATGTTACAATATTATTACTAAAAACTATCTTACAGACCAAACAGAATACATTTTAATCTATTATTGTATAGGGTACTGCTGACGTAACAACTTTTTATTCATTCTTACATCATGATAAAATATAACTGTTTAAATCGTTTGAGAAATAATCAAAAAAATTTAAGATTCAAATGTTATCAAGGTTTATTAGACGCAATCGATGATAGTGCATCCAACATTTCTAAAGATTTTGAGACAAAAGAAAAAAATTAGAGATTTTTTTATGCTATCATCTACACACATTGGCAGTCCAAGATAAATGCAAAAACATTATCAAGATGCCATGTCTATACTGAGAAAATATGGTAGACCAGATTTATTTGTAATAGTAATATGTTATCCTAATTGGAAAGAATTAAAATTGATTTTATCAAAATTTGCTAAAAAAATTAAATATTCCAAACATTACTGTTAGACTATTCCACTTAAAACTAATGTCAGTTTTAAATAACAACATCAAAAACAATAGAAATGTCGCGCTTATTTTTAGAGTGAAAATCGCTGGAGTGTAAGAAACTTTGTCAATTAAAAATTAGAAAGCAGTGAAAAAAGTGATCGGCTTCGGCCAAAAGTCAAGAAAGAGGCCCAGGTTCGACTCCTGGCCGAAGCGGATAACTTTTTTCACTGCTTTCTAATTTTTAATTGACAAAGTTTCTCACACTCTAGCGATTTTCACTCTAAAAATAAGCGTGACGTTTCTATAAAAAATATACATAGCGTAATTTAGATGGAAGAGGTCACTGTATAATAATTTGACATAATACTTACCCATCGATTAATAACATCAATATCTATAATATCGGCGTTCAACCTAAAGACACGCCTAAGCAGAGCTGTGGAGAAGGGTGTCCGCCGAGAGTTCAGTGGCGAAGTTGGTTAACGGACCTTCCCGGCAAGAAGGAGGCCCAGGTTCGACTCCTGGCCGAAGCGGATAACTTCTTTCACTGCTTTGTAATTTTTAATTGACAAAGTTTTTCTTACTCCAGCGATTTTCACTCTAAAAATAAGCGCGACGTTTCTACAAAAATATACATAGCGCAATTTTAAATGGAAGAGGTCAATGTATAATAATTTGACGTGATACTTACCCATCGATTAATAACATCAATATCTATTAAAAACAACATATTCGATAAAGTATTATCGTACGTCTATTTCATCAAATTTCAAAAACAAGGTCTAGCTTATTCACATAAAAATAACTTCGCATGCTGATAAAAAAAATTATTACATCTAAACAAAGTGATGAAATTATTTCAGCTGAAATTTCTTCTGGTTTTAAACACACTCTTCATGGACCTCATACAGAACCAAGTCCGTGTATGATTGATAAGAAATGTACAAAAAAGTTTTCGAAATCTTTTACAAACTTAACTCTGATTGAAACAAATGGTTAACCTTAATATATGAGAAAAAATAATACTTCCAAACAACCTGTTTATAAACTTTGGAGCAAAGATTGAATTTTAGTAGATTATTCAATGGTTGTACCGTTTAATAAACTTATTTAAATAGAGTATATGTCATTTCAACGTCAAATTCTGTGATTCTATTCGAAGCATAAAATATATTTATGACTACACACATTAAGACTGTGACAGAGCATAAATCAAAATTTAAAAATTAAAAGACGGAGACGGAGAAACTTTTGATGAAATTCATAGTTACGTTAATGCTAGACAGTAGGTCCAATGGAAGCAGTTTGGAGATAGCAAGAATTTTCGATTTGTGGTAGAAGTCATGAGAAGTTGTAAGTTCAGCTGTTCACCTTGAAAACAAACAGAAATTGTATTCAAAGAAAATAATGTTGGAACTGTTGTAAAAAACTATGGGACACAGATGAGAGCATGATTAAGATTAAATAAACATGATGACTTTTGCAAAATCCACGAAGTATGTGAGCATTCCAAAATACTAATACATTAAAAAATTTGGCAAAGAAGAAAAAATTTCATAAAAAATACTACAATAGGTAGATTAAATATTGTATCTCCAAGAGATCATGACCGATTTTTTTTCAACTTGATATACATAAAATAACTGGTTTGACATTGTCCAAAGATATTTTAACTTATAAGGGAATAATACATCGAACTTTCTAAGATAATGGGTTTAATAGATACCATCCTCAAAAAAGCAATTGCGGTTATGTTTTCAAATCAATTAAGGCAGTTTTTTGGTTGGTTTTTAATAACAAAAAATGATCGAGGTGTTATAAAATGGAATCAATACAAAGAATTTTTTACGCTGGATTTGCCTGATAATAAAGATAATTTATCTCTTTAACGTATAAAACAAATTTTAGAATTAGAAGATAAACCATGTTAGTGTTATAATTTACCTACACCAAGGAAAATAAGAAAATTAAAAAGACGATCTAGATAATGAAATACGTTTTAGTAAAGTAATGTTACTTAACTTGTTAACTTAATAATTAAATTTTGGGATAATAATTGAGCAAACTATTAAATCTTTATTTTTATGGAACTCATTGGAAGTTTTAAGGCTAGAAATCAATATTCGTTCTAACGATATAGAATTTTCAAAGTTATTATTGGAAATTGTGTAAGGGTAAACAAAAACTTTTAACATTTCTTAAAATACATCAAATAGTGCATGTTTTTCAATAATTTTTAATATATATAACTGTTTGATGAAGAGTGTTATACTACATCACATAACAAGTACCCCTGTTATTAAAATAATAAAATTTTTAAATATTTAACTGGAAAAACTAAAATTTACTATAGTATAGGTAACGAAACTTATAAAAAGCTTATCAATCGGACAATAGTATAAATTTTCTGGTGGAAATATTGAACAATAATCGTAAAAGATAACCACCTCATAAAACAAATCTAAAAATTGGTAAAATAGTAATGTTACTTAGAAATTTAAGTACATATTATGAACTGTGTAATGGAACATGCTTACGAATCACGAAATTGTTACAGTATAATATAGAAAGTGAAATAATAACTGAAGAAAAAATTGAAAATAGAGTTCATCCCAAAAATAACCTGAGACACAGGAAACACCTCACCATTACCTTTCATTTTATATTGTAAACAATTTCCAATCGTTGTGGCATTTGATAAGTTAATAAACAAATCTGAAGGTAAATGTTTTCATAATGTAGGCTTGTACTTAAAAAAATCTGTATTTTCTCATGCTCAATTATTTGGATTTATCAAAGTGCAAAAATAAAAATAACTTATTTGTTCAATTAGAAACAAGAAAAAACACAGAAATAGGAAACATTATTTGGATTACGTATAAGTTATGGATATACCAGAAAAATGTATAAATTAAATATTGTCTTTCCAGAGGATGAGCATCAACTTAAGGTTCAGCCATTATTTATTACAGTAGATCCAGCTAGGGATAGTCCTTCTGTCGTTGGAAAATACATTAAAGAATTCTCCAACAAAATAATTGGATTGTCTGGCTCAGTAGATCAAATTGCTAAAGCATGCAAAGCTTATAGAGTATACTTCAGTAATGGCCCTCCTGATCAAGACAATGATTATATTGTAAGTACTGAAATATTTCAAAAAGTTAATGTTAAAGGTTAAATAAACAATTACGAATGTTACAGGTGGATCATACAATTATAATATATCTTATTGACCCAGATGGAGCTTTCGTTGATTACTTTGGTCAGACACATAACGCTGAGAGTATTGTTAATAGTGTTTTGATGAGCAAATTAAAGTATGACAGATTAAACGATGACTCGAGTTGGTTGGAGTCTACTTTTAAAAGAAAGATATTACCAAATGCGGCGTCATGAATGTATGAACCGGTTTAATTTATTTTAAGTAAAGAAATTTAGTGAATAAGAGGTATTCATTTGTACATATTTATGAAGAAATTTATAACGGTAAAAAAATTATAAATGCTTTAATAAATCTGAAAACAATACACATAATTTTTTAAATATTTTTGGGAGCTAATCAATTAAAAATAAACACTAAAATTAACAGACTTTAATTCAAATGCAATGATATGATTATTTGCACAAGCAAGAAATTTTTTATANAGGGTTGCAATTCTTAATTCTTTCAAGTTCATTCTTTTGTTTGTTCAATTTTGCTACTTAGTGAATATAAGGTTAGGTAATCCCCATAAATGGAGTTTTTGATCAAATCACCAAAATACTTTGACACTCATTTATAATTTTCCTAACAAAAAACTTTAACTTAATTTAGATAAATTTGAAAATTGGGTATTCGAAAAATTTGTGAAGTAAATAAATTTTTTTCTCGAAATTATGCGTTGCAACTCTTTAGAGTCTAAAAAATCGTCATAGAACTGCCATTTTATAAAAAACGAGTAGGCGTTGCAGTTACATGATTAATCAATTTTTGTAAACATATTAAGACAAATTCGTTCTTAGGGGTGGTTTTCAAGAGTAGTTTTAGCCCCCTAAAAATGATTCTCCACTGATGGAAAAAAACGAGATACGTTTGGGTCCTAAAGAACTGGAAATCAAATTTGGAAAAAAAATTGTTATTTACAACATACGCGTCTTTTTATCGGCGGAGAAGTATTTTTAGGGGGTGAAAACAATTCTCGAAAGTCATCTTTAAAAAAAAGTTTTTCTTCATTTGTCTAAAAAAATATTTTATCTAATACGTATCCCGTGTTTTTTATGTACTACAACGTATTATAGTTTTATTAAAATCGGAGGTGGGCACCTCATAATCATTCCTTGTAGATCATAATTTGAAAAACAGTACCAAAAATATAGCCTTAAATTTTTCCCAAGTACAAAACTTTCCTGATATTTCGGAGGATATGGGAAAAAATACAAACTTTGTCTCGTGACTGCCGAAGAAACTTTTTTTCTGGCTTTCTTGACGGTCTTTTTTTTGTAGAATAACTTATGTTTGTATTGTTTATTTAACGCAATAATGTAAGTATACAAATGTAATTCGAAAAAATTTATTAGAATCCAAACGTATTTGACAAAATGTGTTAATTTGCATCCCTTATAGTTAATTTTGTGCCTCACTCCCGCTGAATAGGAAGTTTGGTACGTTTGTTTGCTGATTAGTAGGTTATTTCCGTGTGCATATTATATCTATAAACAAAATGCTAGCGCGCTCACACACACACACACACAAACACTCACACACACACACACACACACACACACACACACACACACACACACATATATATATATACACACACACACACACACACACACACACACACACACACACACACACACACACACACACACACACACACACACACACACACACACACACACACACACACACACACACACACACACACACACACACACACACACACACACACACACACACACACACACACACACACACACACACACACACACACACACACACACACACACACACACACACACACACACACACACACACACACACACACACACACACACACACACACACACACACACACACACACACACACACACACACACACACACACACACACACACACACACACACACACACACACACACACACACACACACACACACACACACACACACACACACACACACACACACACACACACACACACACACACACACACACACACACACACACACACACACACACACACACACACACACACACACACACACACACACACACACACACACACACACACACACACACACACACACACACACACACACACACACACACACACACACACACACACANATATATATATATATATATAGACAATATTAGAATTATGCTGACAGTCAAGAAAATATGATCACACACGCATATGGTCTTGTATTTTTTGCATGTATGGTACATACAACTTTTTGACACGATGCGCGTAGCAAAGAAGAAAGGTATACAACCATTGGAAGGATTTCTACATAAAGGCCTTAACTTGCATACGTATTCGCACAAGTATGCAAACAAACTTAAACAAATTAACCAAAGGGTGTCGAGAAAATATTATGAAATTACTCTAAAAGTAGACGCAATAATTTTGATTAAATAATAATCATTTTACACAATCAGTTACGTAAAAAAAAAAATATAATTCCATTTTGCATGATTATGATTTTATTTGCACACTTTGCCCCGTGAACCCCATGACTTAAAGCAAATGTACACGATGTACATAAAAAGACAAGATTTAGTCATTTCGATGTTTTTATGTCTAGATTATAAATATAATTTCAAGTTACAACTAATGTATTGTTATTTGCATGATTATCTTTCGGACAAAATTGTGCGGAGAATGTAACCAACAAGTAACTAAAATGCTTACAAATATTTATGAATAAGACAGAACTAGTACACTTATGTTAATGAGTTACGTTAAACAAAGTCTTATAAATGCTTTTGGACATGTTTCTGATTTTGCATATGAGTAATTCTACCAAACTTTTAACATTCGTGTAACTGTTGATTTCAACCAATGTTTGTAGATAAAACAATCCTTAGTGAGTAAAGAAATTAAAAGAGGGGATGAGGAAAATGGAGGGGTTTGAGGCTCAATCCACTTGAAATAACTATGTAATACAGGAAGATTTATATGTAAGATATCGTTATTAAATCTTTCCTTTCGCAATACCTAATAATAATTTTAAAAATGTTTCGTCAATTAAACGAATATAGATGATATTAAGTTTTATCATACGAAACAACGACCAAAAATATTATGATTAAATACTTTGTTGTATAATCATGCTTTTATTACTGTTTCTTAAAACTAGAAAAATCCGTCTCAAATCACCTGCTAAAACAATTAATTTATTACCAAAATCTATGTTTGTATCACATAAGCCCCTTCATGTTCTTTTAACTATTTCTAAGGCTTTTTTTAAGTTCATACAAGCCTCGTTCTTATTTGCACTCAATATTAGGCCTAATTGAAATCGCATATATTTATCAGGATGTTAAAGTGAAATAAAAAGAAGTAAGAAGAATTCTTCCAAAAACATTATGTAATCAATAAAATGATTAAAGATGTTCTTTTAATTTTATCTCCTTGGATATTGTCTGCAATAAGAAGAAAGGCAAAGATTTGTCTTAAAAATTTATAAAAAAATTATTTATTAAATATACGATACTTCTATTAATTCCTAAACTACTTTATAAAAATTTTTAATTTTTTTCACTTCAAGAAGCAAACTTAAAAAACGAAGTATATGACTGATTGGGACATTAGGGGGTTGGTGCATGAAGCACGCAGAAGGGTGAAGCTCCACTAGTATTTTCCTATATTGTGTAGTTATTTTAAGTGGATTCAGCCTCTAACCCCCTCCATGCCTCTCCAACCCCTGCAATGCGCCTTTAACCCCAACCTGTCCCCATTAAAATACCTTCTATTCGTTTATTTTCTAGCTGTTTTGTATATTTCATTACGTCCCCTTCCATGCTTCTCTATCACCCATTCATTCACCATGCATCTCCCTCCAATCTCCCTCAGTCCCCCTTCACCTTAGGTCGAGCGGCTACAGGGGGGGGGGGCAGACTTATATACGTCCAGCTGCTAATAAAGGCATTACTATGGGAATTGAGCACTTGGAAAAAGGAATGGAAAAAAGATAGCGAGTCATCCCATTATACGGAGGCGGTAGGGGAAATTAGGCAATTTTGTTTTAAAAATGTTGTGGTCGCCCATCCCCTTCATGAGGAGCATTGCGTGGAGAAAAAGCACATATGAAAAATTACAGAGGCACTTGCTCAAAAAAGTCTGCACTGGCCGAAAATCATACCACGATCCCCTACGTGCTGATCCACGACCTAGCCAACTGAGCCACCGCTTGCTCTTATATATATCTCCCTATATTAAATAGCTATTTCAAATTAATTCAGCCTCGAACCCCCTCCATTACCCGTATTTAGAAGTTAGTAAGGTAATTAAAAACACAAAAAGATTAGTAGAATTTTTGACAAATCAACTATTCATTATAAGTTGATTTTTGCGCCCTATTCGCATTTCAACCATTAACAGAGAATTGTATGAAGTAACTTAAAAATACGATATACTTATAAATTACAAAGTATTTTATTAAATTACTTAAAAAATGCTATCAATCATCAGAGTCTAACGTATTAAGAGATAAACTTTTTTGAAATTATGAAAGTTAATCATTACTATCATACATAAAAATAATCTAGAAGAAGTAACTTATTGCAAATGTTCTGAAAAAAATAAAAATATTTCAATGAAAAACATTTTAAAATTTAAATTACATTAAATTAAAATTTAATTTTCTTAATGATTACTTATTTTATGTATACGTTTATGGTAACGTTTTATAGCATCTCTTCGGAAAAACATTTTTACCACACTGACGACACAATATTTGTCTATTTGTTTTATGTATGAGCAAATGCCTGTTCAAATTTGTTTGTCTTTGAAATGATTCGTTATAAATAATATATAGTTTTAGCTTATTGTCTTTAAGTTCTTTCATATAATAATTAAAATATTTTCAATTTCGTATTATTATCTTGCAAATGTTGTATGAAAACAATTTTTGATTGTATTTTTTTTTTCTGAATTTTCAGTGCGTCTCCTTCTCGAAAAAATAAGTAGCAGTATTTGCACTTGAAAAGACATAAAGTGATGAAAAATGTGAAAAATTAAAAAAAAAAGTAATCATCTGTTTTTTATGTGTACACAAATATTTTTCAGATTTTTTGAAAATGTAATAAGTAAAAGTTGATGCAAAAAAAAAATTTGAATGAATAGACATCAGTTGGAAAATTAAATTTTTTAAGGTCACACAATGCAGTTAATATAAAAATATATCTTTGAACTCACACAATTATTGAAATACAACTTGTAATAGAAAAACTATGTTTCAGATTGTAAGACTTATTAATCGGCAATGTACGCAAAACAAAATTTTCGAACCCTGAAAA